CTTTTTAACAAGTAACAAACGGCCCGTTCCGGTCCACTGTTTTTCTCGTCTGAACACGACATCCAATAGACAAGTGGAACAGCCACATCTGTTTCATATTTAAATTTATGCATGAAAGTTCATAGTGACGACAAATTTTCTGCCAAACTGTGACAAGAGGGATGCATTCACTTTGCTGTGGCAGTCGGGACAGGATAGTGTCAGGTTCTTGAAATCGTGCAATGGATTTCCTATGTTGATGGAATAGACAGTTGCGACAGTATTCCGAACTCTCCTGTTTTCGAGGATCATCACCACCTGTATCCAGGTAGCATTACCAGCTATGCTCAAGCTGCATCATTAGACTTTATAGACAGCAGCGATATGTCCGACGACAGCAGTGACACCTCAGTTGGGTCCAGTCCATACCAGTCTGACGAGAATGTCATGACGTACTCCATGGTTGGAGAAGCCGGGTATACAGGTAGGATTAGCTAATGTGTGATTCTGTTTTTAAATCAATGTAAAAGTGTAAACATGTTCTTTTACCACCTGTACCTATTAATGTTTACTCTGCCTGCTTGATAGGAAACCACATAACCATTCGCTTGTTATAATCCATATTTCTGTTCCTCTGAACTTTATATGATTCCATTTAAACTATTTATGATAGTGTTAAATCATGTGTAACATTTATTGATCACTGTTCAGGGTTCTTTAAATGCCCCGTCCGACAAGGGTGACTTCTGATCCCGTTTTGGTTTGGTATAAAGAAGTACAAATACCTTTAAACTTCACCCAGATATTGTTTCTTCTGCTGTTCGCCGATGATGTGTTTAAATCAATGTTAGAATATACCCATGTTCTTTTGCCACCTGAATTGATTTCTACACTACCTGCTTGATAGGAAAACCGCAAAGCCATTCATGAAGGGCTTATCAATTCCTGCTTGATCACAACAGATGAAATATTCCGATTGAAAGAATAACAGCCTTACGGTTGTATAACGACATTTTTTCATTATGTCTGATACATAAAATATGATTATAGAAAAACAGTATAATTTTTAACTTGTTTTGGTCCCGACATTGCTGAAATACTGCTGATGTGACTAAAATGCCTATTTCAGTTTAAGTCATAACGCTGTTTCTCCCACATGTATGTGATCGATTCAAACTATGTATCATACACTAAGTGCTTTTCAAAATTTAGCTTAAAATTATTTTTTAACACATTACCTGGTATGAGTACAAATTTGAATCAGTGGTTTGTGACCTTCCTAGAATTCGGATGCAGGCGCTACAACTGAACCACCATAGAGAATGTAGCACCTTTAGAGGGAGTGGAACCAGTATCTCGTGATTGCTTACCAGGAGAAATAGGAGGAGGTTAGACAGTGTCAGCCAGTCACAAGGCGGCTACCATTTGCTCCTGAATTTCAGGATTAGGATCACCTTTACTTGAGGAACAGAGTTTCTTAATGGTGCGGTCCCAGTGCCGACCTTACGCTACTCGACCTTCGCGACCTGAAGTTGGGGGTCGAGTTGGGGGTCGAGTTGGTCGAGTTTCAGAACGAGTTAGGTCGATTCAGGTAAAAAAAAAACTTTCCCCGACTTCCTCCTCGACCTTCGGTCTGAGATGGGGTCGATACCAAGTCGAGAATAGGTCGAGGTAGGTCGAACAATGGTCGAGTTTAGGTCGACATTAGGTCGAGTTGAAGGTCGAGCTGGCCTGACATGCCGATCTGTGTTCTTCTTAGAGTCGATCTGTACTCGGTCTTGACTCGACCTTGAGTCGACCAACTTGAACTGGACTCGACTTGGACTCAACCTGGAGTCGACCGACTCGACCTGATATCAACCTATCTTGACCCCAACTCAACCTAATCGAGTCCGCGCCGACCGCATGAATGGTTGCCATCTTCCCAATTGCTTCATAAAACCCAAACGGCAGCCAGTGGTAGCACATCATCTCCACACCAACCTGCTGCCACCCAGAGGTTCACCCTGAGCGCACCGACCTCTCCAACACGCCGCAAAGCAGCGGAACAGGCTGGCATCTTCCCCAGCTTTGACTCCAGTGCTGAAGCAGGTATATCTCTGTGCCTGCCAAGCGGTCTCTTGGACCCTACACACACCTCAGAGAATCAGTCACATGTTCAGGACTCTCAACAAGGACAGTGAAACTGAAATGTAGAACTTGATGCTCAAATATTGTCACGAGCACTTTATTCTGATGTGAAATGTTACCTTAAGATTATCTAGATCTTATATAAATAAGCCAAGGAGGATCTGGAACCTCATAGCCAGAATCCCGAAGGTATTCTCTACCACTCGTCTGGCCCGAGACAGTCTGCAAAAGTCACAAAATATACATTTTTAAGTCAAATGCATTCAAAATTTAAAACGTATATATAATATTACATACACCCAAAGATACTAATTTATAATTTGATTTAGGTATTTATGGAAAAGAATAATAACCTGCAGTTGAAGATCTGTTGATCAGGGTCCATCTGACGCATGGAAAAGGACTTCATCATCCAAGGGCGGAGTGGAAAGGCATCGTCGCCGATCATGAAGTATGGCACACCATATACGGGGAATACAAGGCCATCGCCCTCCATCCGATCTCGTGAATGGTTGAAGACCATTAACGTCTGATACTGATCCCTTGGCCCCGACGTTGACCCACGAGAACTTGTAGTCGGCACCCGCGAGTGCCAGCAAGACAATAGAGAAGAAGTTCTTGTAGTAGCAGAAGAGGCACCCGCTTCTGGGAGGCTTCTTGATGCGCATTGCCATCAAACGCACCGGTGCAATATGGAAATTGCCACCTTTCCCTAAAGGCACGGTCTACAGTATTCCATCTGCTGTGATCCCACTCATCTGACCGATACTCAGCTTTGAAGGCGTCAAAGATGGGATTGATGTGCTTACGGCTGAGGCTTTGGCTTTGGAGGAGGGTTGGCATTCTCCAGGTCATCCGCCAGTTTAAGCAGATGCCAGGCTATCTGCACCCAAATGGTAAGCAGTCTTCGCTTCTCGGGGGTCACCGGGTTTATGTCAAGGTTCCTGATGGAGATGTTACTCCTTTGCAGTCCTCTAATTGAATAGGTACCTGGTGAAAATGTACCCTGTAATTTATACAATTTGGAAGCCAAGGCTCGACTCAGGAAGACATTAATTCGAAATTATGTCGATATACGGGTCTAGCTGGTCGAGTATAGGTCTTCTTAATTTGGCCGACCTGAGTCGAGATAGGTCAACTGAAGTCGAACTAAAATCGAACTAAGGTCGTAAAGGTCGTTGTGAGGTCGAGATACCCCCCAGGTCGAGACAGGTTGTCTAGTTTGCGAGGTCGAGTCGGTCGAGCTCCCAAGGTCGCCACTTGGACCGCACCATAAGCAATTAAGATACTGATGCGTGTTCGATGTTTCCAAGAGCTTTATTTTCCAATTAAGACACAGTTCTCCACCATTTTTTTTAACATGATGGGACCACGAGAGATTAGCCTCGGACTGGCCTTGCACGCGCGACGTCACGTAAGCAATCACTTTCGGCTAACCCATCTAAGGAATCGATTCCAGACTGCCAGTCTGACTGCTCAGACCAGTACGTCCAACAACATCCGGCCCCTTCCCCAGTTCATACGTCCACTTTTGCCCCAACGTCAAAGACAGGTACGTCTTGCCTGGTGCAGACAGCATTTACGGTGCAGGATACAAGAGTAGATTGGGATGGTGTTTTGTTCACTTATGAGTCGAGGTCTGGACAGCTCAGATGGCAGAGCATGGGTGTGCAGACGGCGAGGAGAACGGCATCCTGATGGGGAGGCATAACATTTCATGGTCGGACACAAGTTGTCATTGTAAATGGCAATCTGACAGGTCTGCGATACTGGGATGATATCAATTGACCTCATGTACAGCTGTTCATTCAAGGACAGAGACGTAACTTCACGCTTCAGCAAGATAATACACGTCCACAGCTCGCTCGTTTTATCAAAGATTTCCAGAAAAATATCCCGGTACTTCCCCAGCCGGCTGTTTCTTCGGACCTGTCCCCTATCGAGCACGCTTCGGATGAAATGGAGCGACGTTTACGTCAAGCCCAGAATCAGCCATTGATACTGATTTGGGACAAGCGTTAGTTCAGACATGGAACAACATTCTCGAAGCTTTCTTCAACCATTTAGTGTCGTCTATGCGTCGTCTTTGCCCAGCCTGCATCAACCTCAGTTGTGGACACGCACGATACTGAATTTGTGCACTGACTTTTGACACCACATCTCTCCAACGCCTAGTATCAAATCATACTGATTTCGATATTGTCAATAGTTAAACAGTATTTAAGAAAAACGCCACAAATTCTGTTATCGTTTTGCACTAAAATAATGGCATAACAGCAAATAATGCACAGTTTCTTTATTCAGTAGTATACCATACGATGAGCCTGTAAATATCCGTTATGCAGTGATTTTGAAAGAGAGGGATCTATGCCAACAATTAATTTTGACTAACTTATATCTGTTTAGACTTAATAGTGTATGTGGAAACAGTCGACCGCTAGACTAAAGTAATACTTTCATCTGGCTGCAATTCCCAACCCTTATTTTTCACAAAAAACTGTAAACATGACGTTTAATTCCACATTCAAAACTTCTGCATTGCGAACAGCAGTTCTAAAACTCCCATTAGTAGAGGTACGATTCCCGAGTATTATGTTTCTACACATACAAAATGGTTATCCTGAATATATATCATATGCGCTTTATGCATGGCACCAGAGCGTGTCCTTAGGTTGCTAGTGTACAGGTCGTTTCCTTCTCTGTGAGGAGATACGGTGTAGTTGTAAGTACAACATTTAGCTATCAGTGTTTTGCATATACCTGGTGAGACGCAGTGTACCATATAGGTATCGTCGTGTAAAATGTTGCGGCAGTATGAAGGGGATTGGGATTCAAGGGAAACCGGGACTACACACGGAGTTTTATTTTACTGTTGCATTGCAGATGATGATGCTTGTCCTACAACCGAACACCATGTTGGAAATGAAGTGAAACAACAGACCTCAGGGGCTACACAGACATTGGCTGAACCAGGGCCAGGTAAGCTGCAAACACAACAAACGATATCTACCTTAGCACGTTGATGATTGCTGCAGTAGATACAGAGAACTGATCTGTTGGGTGCATGAGATAGGGAAACTGTGGGGTGGATAAGATGATGGTAGGCATGGAGGCTAATCCGGGAGCTGAAAGTTCTGATTCCGACTAAACGATTGCTTCTCGATTTGTGGCTATGGATGACAATACTCAAGCTGTACATCTGTGATGAATGAAATTTACATACTTTCTGACTGTAACCAGCACTATTGCAGTGCAGGTAACAGTGAAGTCTTGAATAATTTCATGTTAAGTTTGACATTGCCCGGACTGATGATTGTCTAAGGTGAGCATACTGTCAGTATCTTCAATTGGTGATTAGGCAGCTACATAGGGATACCCTATCAGGTTTTGACAAAGCAGAGAGTTGCTATACTGAATGGGAAGGTACATTAGTTCCTTAGTACTAAAATGGGTACCCGTGAGGATGTAATAGACCGATCCAGTCCCGGCCGATAAGCCCCGCCCACTTAGGAGTTTTTAATACGTTAGGGGAGCGTCAAAATACTGACTCAATCCATGTTTATGCGGCATCACACACCTGGACACGGCCGCAAAGCTGCGTCTGAAGCTGGTCGTGATTGCGTAAAATGTTGTTGATGAATTCTGTAGATATTGTACTTTGGTATCAATAGACGTTCCAGTCCCGAAAGCCCCGCCCACTTCGTTTTAAAAGGAAAGTTATACCGCCGTCGAGACGTATTTTATTTTTCAATATATTTTAGTTGACAGGTTTTATATTTTGGCGAGTGAAAAAATGTAGTTAGATCTACATGCCCGATGAAAAATCGTCTCAGCCAGCTGCTGAGATTGGGAAGCGTATTTTGTACCAAATAATCTATCCGGCAATTCACGTTCGTGTAAGATATTAGCAGGGGAAAGGTAACTGAATTATGTTGTTTGTTGCTTTTTCTGAAAAATTCCCATCGTAATATTATAAAAACCGTGAACACTACCACATGTGCAAGTTGCAGATCGTTTCGGTATCTATAAAAAGATTGTCAAAACTGCGCGTGCCACCTTTATTTATTTATCCGTTGTTCAAATTTAGTTAAATTAGAAGTTTGTGAAAACGTGGGTTTCTACCTTTCAAGGAATAACGCAGGAAAACAGTATCCCGTCTACTACTTCGTCCACCTTGTTTATCTGTATATATATTATCTGGAAAACGTTACTGGACTTGTTAACACAGTATGTTTCCATGGATGTATCTGGACATACCCAGAAGCAAATATTCAGCAGCTAATCTGCAGCTATTCTCAGTAAAATTTCTCACTTCAAAATCTGTACACCATCTTAAAGTGACACTGGATATAAGGAAATCCATTTTTTTTAATAATCCTTTCCAGTTTATTTTTCTATGTGTACTTTGTTGTGGAATCCTAATCTACAATCAGTCTGCACCTGTACACTGACACATCTTCCATAAATAGGAAACGTGTGATGCAAAATCTTTGAACAGAGGATCCACAGTTATCCGAACAGTTAACTAGCATTGAAATAGAATGTTACACAACATACTAATATACTGCTTTTTCTTCAGATATATTTAACTGCTAACTACTAATGTAAATAAGAGGCAAAGTTTAAATCGTTTTGTCAATAACATAACATATTGACATTATTGCTTCTTAAACAATGATAATCTTATTAAATCTGAGACCATATCCCTTAGGGACATAACACTAATCCTGATCTATTTCCTTTTCTGAGATGCTTACTAGTGTCATCAAAATTATATTAAAGTTGCTTAAAAAATTGGTAAAAGTCATAACAAAAGTTTAGGAAAACATACATGAAAATGTCCTGAAGCTTTCACCTCCTGCAATTAAACCAGTGTGCAATTTAATATGAATTTAAGCTTATTTTCCAAATAAGCATCAACAAACCTTGAACAATTTGTCCAAAACCAACATCTTAATAAACACTATTTTGGCCCATTCTTCAAATATTGGTAACCTCCTCAAAAGCTAATGATTTCTAAGAAGTATTACATGAAATTGGGGTTGAATATTATATGTTTCAATATCCATTCCAGTTACATGAATAGTCAACTTAGAATTCTGCAAGTTATTTGGTTCCAAGACTGAATAATGCCTGGGTGTGAACAAAACGTAGCCTTTGGGGTTTTTTTCAAATTCTCTGGATGTTAAAATAACTTTATTCTGAGTGATGATACTAGTGATCACTCTCTGAATAATCTTATTAGTTAACATATTATGTAAAGACCAAATATATCTTAAAACAAACTAGCTGTCTTAGTACCAAGTGATTGTTCAGCATGATATGTATATAGTGTTTGTTTGCCTAGTTCTGCCTTAAATTCACATGAATCTGATATTTGAGACAATTAAGTAATTATTTTTAATTGATTCGAGTATTACCTATTTTATTACCTTTCCACGTTTCCTGAAGGAGGCAAGATTCTTAAAACAAACCTTGCTATAATTTCCAGTGAATTATAATTAAAATGACAGAACTATGTAATTACTCCTAAAATGTACCAATGTACACCACCCCCCACCCCACCCCATGTAAAAAATGCTGTGACAAAAAATCAAAACAAATAATGTTCTCATAGTTAGGAAATAAACTTATATTTCACTCCTTCCGATATTCCAGAAAGTCACTATTCTTCTCAAATAGTTTTCGTCTCCGATCCACATGGAGTAAGCTAAATCAATTCAAGGTCCCATCTCTTTATAGAAATTCTGAAATATTTAAGACATGGTTTTATAGACACTCATTTGAATTAATTTTGACGTTTGGATATTGCATGATAGGCAACTGCTAACACTGACAATATTTCCGTTTGGATAAAAAAATATTACTCCTCGATTATTTTGAACTGTCAACAGATACTGTACTGTTCATAGGCCTTCAGATTGTGCTTTTGAAACTTTAAAACATCCTAAAATGTGTGACAAAGAATATCTAATCGCGAATGCAACCATATCCACCACATTGTTCTTTAATGAAACAAGTTTTGCTATTTCAGTCGACCCTAACCGAAATCAGCTCGCTGTCAGATTTGTTTACATTGTGTCGATGCTTTCTCGCCTGTCTCATTTCAGGTTTATGGTGTACCAACTCAATGCCTAGTAGTGACTAAAAACATGAAGCAAAAACAATTTTGTAGTTACAAGAATTGTCCGTGTTTATAACACTTGCAAAATCCTAAACGGCTATTTGTTGTCATCTATTGGTAATGCTTTTGCACATGTGCGAAAGTGTGTAAATTCGTGTAAATTCTCACCTTCGAGCAAACGTAGGTTTCGTGAACGACCGAGCCGACATTTAACTGCTCGTTAGGCCTATCGCATTCCTCGATTTTTTTGTCTTGATCGTAATGGTTTTGGTAAAGGTACACATCAAATCACAGCAATATGTAATAGATATAGCGAGTGTAAATGGTATAATTCAAAGCACATCGCTTCGGAGGCATCGTTTGACCCCGGAAATAAGTCTGACAAATCCACACAGCGCGCCCGGCCTGCCGATTGGCCAAAATTGACGTTTTGACTGACAGACTGGATCGGTCTATTACTTGTATGTTCGTGCAAAAGGTTATAAGCTCTACAATAAAGAATAAAAATAACAGAATCACTGCCACTGATACAATGAAGCTAAATGTCTGTTATATCACTTTTGGGAGAGTCCAACAATGTTAGTAAGTCCACCATATCAATGCAAAACATACAAGCTGGACCAGCTGCTGCTGGGTCTCTGTCGTACTCTCAATGTCCGTTTGCTATCCCTGTCCCAGAACCTGGTCACACTACCGCCCGCTGACCGGTCATGGTCAGGAATCGTTGCCTTGGTGGTTACTGCTCGACGATACGTCGACAAGTTGTTCGTAGTTATCCACTATGTTAACTTACACAGGTGTTCATGCTGTTAAACGGTTCTGCCGAAGTCAACGATTACCAAAAACAAACACTATCCTACATTATATGCAAGAACACATTCCAAAACTCGCATCGACAGGGATTTATTATGGTTACGATTTTCGGTAGTCGTTCACAAGTCATTGGCTAATTATCGTTGACATGACTCGATCCATCGATGAGGTTTAAGAAACTAAAGAAACAAAATGATTCTTTTAGCTAATGTATTAATTACAGCATTTAAATTTAACTTGTCTGAATTTTCAAATATTGGATTATATGATTATCAAATAAAGCACTTTAAAATGATCAAATAGAACGTTTGAAGATTGTCAGACAATGCATTTCAATAACGTGCTTCAATAACAGCTTTCTATCAAAATTACACAATAATAATGTCAAAATATTCCAAATGATAACGCCAACAACATACTATTCAAATGTCAAGTAAAGTACACAATGTATGATTAAAAGTACTCACATTTGTGTTGCCATACAGAGAGGTTTGCAGACAGCCAAGTGACCATGGGGATAACACAGTTAATCCAACTTTGCATGAAGCTTTTGTGCAAGGGTTAGGTCATGTGATCATCAATAATGAAAGTGAGGCTCCATATTTACTGATTAAATTTGCAAGCGTTTTAGGCATTACGCTGGATTAAAACCCTAGCACTTTGGATCACAAGTCTAGCGCGTTAACTACTAGGCCACCGTACAAGACACTCGTACATGCCTGGTTTAACAATACTGAGCATTACTGAATACAACATAACTCGTATTTAGCATTAACACCTACAATCTCCCATTTTACCATTTCAAATATATTACTGGAATAAAGTAAATGTGCATTATTTGCTGTTATGCTATATTTTAATGCACAAAAGTAATAACATGATTTGTGGTCTCAATCACTGTTTAACTGTTGACAGGATAATATCGAAATCTGTATGATTTGACACTAGGCATCGTGACGCGCCCTTGAAGAGATTTGGTGTCAAAAGTCAGTTCACAACTTCCGTGGCGGATTCTGGGCTTGGCATCGTAAATTGCTCCATTTCATCCCAGGCTCGTTCGATAGGAGACAGGATAGGAACAACAGCTGGCCAGTTGAATACCGGAATGTTCTTCTGCCTCAGGGGATCTTTAAGTTACGTCTCTGTCGTTGAATGAACAGCTACATATAGGGCTCAATGATTTCTGTGTATCGTAGACCTGTCAGATTGCCACTGATAATGACAAGTTGTGTCCGACCATGAGATCTTATCAATAGATACCATTCACCTCACCCTTGCCCCTGCGATCTGAGCTACCCAGATGAAATCTTCACTCATTAGTGAACAATCCCAATCTTGTCTCCTGGACCGTAGATGCTGTCTGCACCAGGCAAGACGTGCTTAAAGGTGAAGTTGAAGCCAAAGTGGACGTATTGCAGGCCGTCGTGACCGGGTGTTGTGCTTCCTTAATCGGTTCCGTACCCGTCCTGATTGGACGTAAGCCAGGAATAGTACGAGCAGTCAAACTGGCAGTCTGGAATCGATTCCCTAGATGGGTCAGCAGAAAGTAGTTGTCTTGTTGACGTTACGTCACGCGTGTACGGCCGGTCGGAGGCAAAAAATTATGTTGTAAACGTCTCCATTGAGATGAGATCGTGTTTTGATGGACACCAAATTGTCTGACCCGTTCATTTTGGGCCAATCCAGTCGCCAGCTTACTCACCGCACGTAGACGATAAGTTTAGGTTGAACTTAACGTGTTTTCCACAACATTTAGAGGTTAGAGAATAATCAACGGTTTTCAATATCAGGTGTGTGAACTTCAGGTTCAAAAAGCATGTAAAACGTAAGTTCATTGTGCACAAAGTGCTTCTGCTTCTTGACATCAAATTACATGCAAAATGCTTTGCTACATGTGTATTAAGGGTTATGTTTATACATTTTCAACTGACGTTTATTTTGTGCCGTTTTATGTGATGCATAACAGTTACTTTTTTCTTTAGTATATATCATCTGAAAAATCAAAACAAGTTTTGCAATATTTCTATAAAATACAGATGAACAAATTAAGCGAGAGAAATTACTATTTTGTTCAGTGGTAATACGACTCTTGACATACTATGAAAGAACAAGATAGAAAGAGAATCACACCTATCACGTTTAGTTTCACGAACGTGACTAAACTATAATGTTTCACGTATCAAATCATCTTGAATCATATTTTGCCAGTGATAACTGTCTTTTCAATAAAATAGGATAGGTAGACAGTACTACGTACTGGTCTAAAGAAATAGAAGATAGAAATAGAAGTATTATACATATATTTGGGAATTGCAGGAAAGTAAGCTCCATATGGCGAGACATGTAAAATCGGATATCGTAAAAAATGCATAGCCCGGTATCCAAAGAAAATATTATTCTTGGTTATTTAAAAAAGCATAACAGTTAACAAAGTTAACAAAATGTAATTGTAATAGAGATTACTTTTATAAGCTTTGGTCGAACTGTCATAATTTTATTTCTTGAATATATTGTTATGCAAAACTGTATAATTGCTTAAGATGAATAAATAAAGCATAAAAAATGAATTATTTTTTCTGTCATCTGTCAATCAGAGGCAAAACTGTACAGTGTCGGTTATAGCGGTATCCGCGTTATTGTTATTGTTCTGAGTTCTCTATTGATAACGGGAGGAAAATTGAATATAAAACATAATACGGTTGCTTAATGCATTGAAACGAATTGGTCAAGGTATCATTTCTCAGTCTTACCACACCCAAGTCTGTTTGTAAGCCCACCTATGTGAGGGTACTTGTCCAACTGTCCAGACTTCCTCCCTCTCTCTTCTGTATGTTTAATAAGACACTGTCTCGGGTGCATTGTTTGGCGACTGCTTATCCCAACTGCATCAGTGATTGTGAGTTTCCGTATAGATGCACAATGCTTCTGTGTAAACGTGCAACTGGTTGATGACATACATGCTATTATTATTTTATTTTTCAGGTATCATCACCAGTCTTCAGGAAGAAAATATCCGACTGAGGAAGGTGACTATTGATACTTAATACAATGTAGAGGTGTAGTGTGGTGAAATACTGTTTGATGTAGCTTTGAAGATCATGTCAATTGGATTGGGAAATGCTCACACGGTGTGTGTGGATTCTTGTATTGACAGGCTTATAGCATCCTTTAACGTGTTTTGGTTGATCAGAAACCTTCCATTCTCCAGCTGGATGCTCTATCGACCAGATCACGGAGAAATCATTGAGTGAGTGAGTTCAGATTTTAAGTCACATCATTTCAGCCATATCGTTACTAAATCAAGTCTTAAATATGTTAACAATTAAAGGGAAATAGTAAAATTCTGTCAACGAAGGACAGTAAAACAACTAGATTATCACAGATATAAATATAAAACAAGTAATTAAATCTAAAATATTTTAACTATACATGACAATACAATGTAAAACCAGGCTATAGATTGACAACAACTGAAGGTAGATCACCATACTAGGGACCATGGGGACTTCCTGCATGGACCCTAGCTGGATGAGAAATCATTTAATGTTAAACAACATAAGACGTGCAGAGATGTAAATCTGATTACTTTATAATGAAAACAAACAATGACCTATCAATCTTCAATCAATCAACCTTTCTTTATGCAAGTATCTAAAATATATACAATGGACTGCCCAACAAAAACGACCCATGAAGGTCCGGGTTAGAATGAACCTTCAGTAACCCATGCTTGTCGTAAGAGGCGACTAACGGGATCGGATGGTCAGGCTCGCTGGCATGGTTGACACAAATGTCATCGGTTCCCAATTGCGTAGATCGATGCTCATGCTGTTGATCAGGATTGTCTGGTCCAGACTCGATTATTTACAGACCGCAGCTATATAGTTGGAATATTTCTAAGTGCGGCGTGAAACTAAACTCACTCACTCACTCCCAACAAACACGAGACACGGACAAAAATATGATGAAACTGAATGTTTCATTGGCCACTAAACGCTGCACATTCTTAGTAAGATATAACCAAACGTTCTTCACTGATCCCAGATAACACAAAACTGCTCACAAACATAGGGAATCGTTGACAGAAAGGGGACAAGACATAACTTTCGAAGGATTTGACGCTGTGGCTTTAGTAGAACTCAGTCATTTGTACTTGGCTGTCAGACCCAAAACAGGTGAACAAAACAAGACTTGAGTTTTGGGGAATATTAGGCAAAGACTCAAAATATTTGAAATACCTGTTGCAGTGTTACAGACTTTGACATAATCAAAATTGCGATATTCAACGATTTAAACGAGTCTTTTAAAAGGACAATGCTCGCCTGCGTTGAAGGATGATGGTAAGTGTGAGACAAAAGACAAAGAAGTGATCTTTGACTCAGTTCGGCAGAAACTATATTCGTTTATACACTTGAACACTCATACACCACATGGACTGGCTAACATGGACCAGTTTGACATCAGACTTCAACTTTCTGGCAAGGTTTTGAAAACATGGAAAAAACCTACATTTATCGTGAACACCGATTCTGATACTGGCCTCGGTTATGTGCAGAAAACAGAAAACTGACGCAAAGTCACAGAGGTGATAAGGAATCATTTGGCGGTTTGATGATGAAGCAACCTAATTTTCTTCTTTCTAATTTTCTGTCCATCAACATCTTACGTTACCTACTCAGCTTAGCTTCATCCCGATTGCTATCGATTATTGTTTCTGAGACAATGGTTCTACACGGTACACAAACAAGCCAGTTGGGAAAAACACACAAGCTACCTACATATCATCAAGTTTTGTGGTTTGGTCCAGGTTTACAGGACCACCGTATTCGTGCTACTGCCGCCACGATCCTCACTCACTTTGCGAGGGGGAGACGAGAGTTTTTCCTGCTGGTTCAACCACTCCATGGGTAGGCAGCAAAGCTTGCAGTACTCAGCGAACTTGACACTGATGGCTTTTTCAAGCATGGCCCAACCAAATACTACATTTCCAACATTGCAACATTCAGAACGTCATTGTCATTGCTAGAAATTTACTTCCACCTGTAACATGAGTTGGGCACATTGCCAAGTTCTGTTCTGTGAAAACATTTGAGTTTTCAACGTTGTATACCACTATCCCACATGGTAAACCTAAGGGAAAAACTTCAGTCCTTGATTCATGGGGCATTTGTAAACAAATGCGGTGTACAAATATACCTACATAATAATAATAATAATAGTTTACAAGCTCCAGAATGCCCAGATTCAAGAAAAACTTCGGGCCGAGTACAAATCTCGCTTAAAGAAAATCTGGAGCTCTGAGCTAAATGCTCGAAACAAGGTCAAAGCCACCAATACCTTTGCTGTGCCAGTCCTTTCCTATTGCTTTGGAGTAGTTGATTGGACAAAACAAGACATCCAGAGTCTTGACCGCCTGACCAGAAGGATCATGTCTGATAACAGAGCCCACCACTCTCGTTCCTCTCTTAATCGTTAATATATGCCAATCAACTCCGGAGGTCGGGGTTTGATTAATGTGGAGGCTCTTCATGATAGAATTTTATTGTGTACTTTAGTGCGCACATATTTATTTATCGGATGATCCTCTGGTGATGCATGTGAAGACTCATGATGAAAGCAAAGAATTCCACAGCTATTTTAAGCGTGCCAAGGTTGTTGGACAGAATCTGAAATTTGAGGTTGATTTTGTTGATGGTACAGCGATGGGAGTAATCCAGGTAAAGTCCTTCACCAAGTCTTCCCAGAGTCGGTCTTTTGTGGAGAAGCTTTCTGAGAAGCCATTGCATTGTGTGTACATGCAGTGTGTTGAACAGAATAGCAATCCCACCGACTCCTTTGCCTGGATGAAGTCGGCTGGTCTTAAATGTGAAACTGAGGGCTTCCTTTTAGCTGCTCAGGTCCAGACATTTCCAACTCGTAATCCCCAAAGAAAATAGCAATATGAAATGTCGATTGTGCAATGAATTCACAGAGACTGTCCAATACCTTGTCAGTGGATGCCCTTCCTTGGCACAAAAAGTATATCTTAAAAGACATGATAGCATGGCTCGCTGCTTTTATTATCGTCTCCGCCATGCCTGTGGCTTTGACTCCATCCATGGTACGACCCTGAACATGTCCAGGGCGTCATGGAAAATGATGCATTCAAACTTCTGTGGAATAGGCCCTTATACAGCCTGAGAAATAAGGGTAATACATTTATTTATATCATTGAATTTTCTGTCCCTTTTGGGCAGCAATGTGATTGGCAAGATTCAGGAAAAGCATGATAAATATGCGGACCTCGCCTTTGAAATGTCTCGCTTGCATCCCAAGTACACTGTTGCCAGTCTCCCCATTGTTCTCTGTGCCCTTGGTTTAGTACCTCCTGATCTCTTGGTGCAGATCAGGAGTGTGCCCAGGTTCTCCACCGAGAGCACAGCCCTTCTGACACTCTGGGTAATGCAGAAGACTGCAGTGTTGGGGAGCCTTCATATTCTCCAGAAAGTTCTTGGTGGGTTCTACTAGGCAGTGTTTCCTGGGAGAAGTCCCATTCGCTATCTGGGCTGCGTGTAGAGGGGGCGAGGGCCCTGAGCCGATGATGAACCTTACCAGCCTGACTGTGCCAGGATCACCCGAACCCTCTCTGCTGCATTTTCATCTTAAATCTGTAAAATATATAGAGATTTATATAGAGCCAATATCCAGATGAGTCCTGCTCAAAGGCGCTTTCGAATGAGTCTGCCAATGTAATAGTCACTCGGAACTGTAAAATGATTTGAAAAAGAATGTGTTTGACATTCTTATTTATGCACAGATTTCTTCTGCACTTTTAATGCCCAATAGGATGTTGTTCCAAAGCATAGGGCCTGCTTTTGAGAACCATCTGTCTCCAAATGTCTTTGTCCTCGTACGTGGCACAACTAGTAACTGGGCACTTCTAGAACGTAGGGAACGGGAGGGTTGATGGCACTGGATGAAATAGTTGATGCACGATGGGCCAATACCGTGAAAATCTTTGTATACAAGCACAGTAATCTTAAATTCTATCTATCTTCAGAGGCTCAGGACAATGTGTCAAAAATTAAAGCAAATGTCAGTAGTAGTTTACCGAGAAAACAATAATATGAAATGCAGGGTTTTCTCATTGATAAAATCTTTGTAAAATGTAGGGGTATTTTGACATGAAGTAGACATCCCCATGGTCGCCCAAAGTGCTACAGCCCTTTGCGGATGTGTTTCATTAGGCATATGAATCAGAATTTCTGCATATGCTGGCAAAATCAAAACAAGGTAAATTGGCCTAGAAGTTTCAGGTACATCGATGATTTAATATCGTTCAATTACCATCAAGTAGCCACTTGCCTTCCACTGATTTACCCGCATGAACTTCAAACTAAGGAGGAAAGTGTGACCGCCCCGACTGATTCATATTTAGTTCCATGCATAAAAACTCTCCAAAAGGCTGTATGACAAAAGTGATTTCAACTCGCCAATAGTCGGCTAGCCTTTCATGTCGAGCAATATTCCAACAGCTCTAGCCTTTGGTTTTCTTCCTTTGCAAATACTTTTCGCAACCTGTGAGGTACAATCGAGCATGTTCCTTTCACCAAGATTTCAAAGAGTGTCATACCACTCTTGAACTTGAAGTTGTTCGATCAACGTTACAACTTCCAAGACCTCTGCAAAGATTTCAAAATGTTTTATGGTAGACATGTGGATGACATTTCGAAATTTGATCTGTGACAAAAATGATGTCCGGTGCAATTCCCCATTTTGACTTGTTTATATCGACTTTGACCCGAATTATTTTAGGTGAACAATTGACTAAACTTTGCATTTGTGTATGACGGGTGCCACCGGTGGGGCAGAATATGCTCACCTTTTTGCGAACACCTGGTATCATCACTATTTCATAGTGAGTCATAAACACATTCCCTGTCATCGTATCGCATGACCACAATCACTATATTGCTTGGACTCGATTTGTTTACAAACAACATCGTACAGCTGTACAATCGACAGATGTGTCTTATGGATGTGGAAAGGGTTTGCCGCTTCTTTTTGCTCCGTCAGTCTTTCGATCATGTGTTTCGTCGGTCATACTGTGCAAACGTTGTGAGACATAGTTGTGTGATTTTCCTTTGCAATTAGATATTGCAATCACTTATAGTTAATGTGTTTATGTCGACGTTCTGTGTTGCATGTACATGGCTTAAGCTACACGGCAACACAGGGGGTACTCGCACCGTACACCATTCGTGATACGGCTACAGCTTACATACTATTTACTCCTTATTTTGCTCTATTAACACCCAACAGAGAATAGAGGAGCTGGAGGCCTTCGACTGGATATCTCTTGCTACTGAGGACAGCGGGTTTGTCAGTGAAGGAAGCAGTCTGGCATCCTCAAACAGGAGTTCAGTTATCCGGAGACGTCAGAAGGCTGAAGTTCACCGTGGTGTCAAAATGAAAGAAGGTTTTAAGAGATTCTTCACGTTTGGACAACAACATCAGAGAGGTAAGCGGTCGTGTGAGGTTAGTTAATTGCTCTATGTGAAACTTTTCAGGATATATAATATATATAGTATGCTGCTCTTGAGGGTAATACGGTCTGATGTACGCCTTACAACGTACACAACGTATTTACCCTACCGCCGTGTTAAATTTATAAAATATATATATTATTAAAAAACATTTGAAGAACGATAAGATTGCTTCCGACTATATCACATGTAAACAAAATTTTTAAGATCATTGAAATATATCCTGACAGGCTTAAAACTGTTAATTATGTTTAAAGGGCCACCGATGCAGAGCGATTAATGTTTCCAGCCTACAGTCTTATTACAAAACCTAGCTGCAAACTGGTCAGTCCCTGCTCCCTCGACCGTGACGGACACGGGGACTTGGCTACTGTCCACCTTGGCAGAATTTCCTCAACCTAATCAGTGGGACATTAGGAAGGGTGGATGCCCATCAGAAGCCGTTATTTGAAAATATTCCCGGTAGTTCTTGTTTGATTGTAATAAAGTATCCCAGCAGTGTAGGCATTTTCAGATTTTCAAATGTTTGGATGGTATAATGCCTGATCCAATTTGATCCTATTTCTGTGTTTTTACCTCGATATTTAATCATGTAAAAGTATGATGTCTATTGCGTATGCTATGACATCAAAAACACATATTTGATGTATTTGAATCCATAAACTAAACAACCCCACTTTGCCATCGCTAAAAAAATCTGACATTGTACTTAGGTTTCTAAATAAGTACACATCAAATGCTTATATATATTTCTTATGTAACAATGAAGTTCGATCCGGTCGTGTCATCATTCACTTGATGATCGGTTAATGAATTCATAAGAGTTATTATTAGAAAACACCACACAGATTTACCGAAAAAGGTTCCCATTTGACATTTCTTGTGTCTGAAGTAAATACTCATCATTATAAATTTAGGTCTGACGTGGCCAATGTATTACGTCTTATGTAATATGCGCATGGAAGTGCAGCAAGAGGAATTATCAGCTGAGTTTCAAAACGAACATCGATTAAAGGTTTAACGATAACACGCTGATTGATTAATTGCTTTTATCCTGCACAGGGAATTTGTCACAAGGTAGTGCTTATGTATGTAGATTCACTAATCTATACTGAATACACCCTGTCGTAAAGTTACTTTGTAAAAACAACGTCCTTCCTTCAAAGGATTAACCGCCCAAACCTTGATTGGTAGCTCAATATTCGCTAACTAATGGCGGACATCATGCAATTACTTGTCAAGTGTGCTATCTTGGGTGACCAATGGGATACACCAATGTGAAAAACCTGAAATGATAGATCACTTTTTCGCATATTTGACCGTTAAAAGACACATGGCATGGAACAGGATTCTTTGTCTGCTGCAGATGAATGGCACCTCATTACATAATTTTACAACAGCATCAGGATTATCGAGTAAAATAGATTTCATCTTTGTTGATCAGTCTATACGTTTTCTATCAATTGCGCATGGTGGTGGCGCAGCAGAGGTAACGAACTAGTCTTTTATTCTGGGATATATATCCGGGTATTCATGGGAGAAAAGCAGTAACAAAAGCAACAACTAGTCCACGGAAATTGCTCTGCATCGTCGGCCCTTTAAGTTGAGTGTGCAAAAGATTCAATGTATAAAATAGATTAACTAATGCAGTGAAATTGGGTGAATTAAATGTGTACATAGTGAACTCAAAAACAGCTTATGGAACGGTTTTCGAACTCCGGGCACTGCACATGTCTTATTATGACGTCATACGATTGTTAGCGATACAGTTTCTCGGCAGAGATGATGGCGGTTACCGTGGCAGCGGGTAATATTTTTTCCATTTGTCACTGTCCTGGGAGGCGGGACACGGAAACTTGTTAAAAGGGTCACTGACCAATGAAATTAAAGTATTTTACATCAAGGTAAGATTCTGGCTGGCAAATCCCAGAAAGGTTCCAAACATTGTAGTCACCTGGGAAATAGAACCAGAGAACAACCAGTCTACTTGCCCACAAACGACCATCAATGGAAAAATACAATGTGCTATGCCATTACTATACCGCTATACACACGGATATGCCATACGTAATATACTCGTGTTCTTGGAGTGACATCACAGTATGTCAGTCAGACCCTACTGTGCAAGCAAAGAGCAGTCATGTGCATTTCAAACAGCTTTTGAGAGATATAGGGGGAAAGGCATATGGACCATGACATTGTAGTTCATATGAGGGAGAAACGTGATCCATTAAAGAGGCATTAATTTTGTTTATCATCATTTTGAATATTACCAATGTATGAACGGAGAACACATGTTCGCAAGGGTGACTGAGATGCTTGCACCTTATAGGGAGCTTTTCTATTTCATCATTTGCTTTGCAGAAGAAGTTTCCCTTCCTATTGCACTAGTACTGCGTGCGGGAAAACAGTAGGGATGAGCAGAATCCCGAGGCTGCACGGAGTTTGCCTACACCAGGTATAACATTTTAAAAGCCGTTAATACATGATAACTTTGTTTTCATTCTTTATCACAAGACAAGACAAGAGCTATTTTTGTCCTCCATCAGGTGAATTCTGAGTAAATGCGTCGAGACTTATGTTTACACAACTCAGGCGAAAGAATGTACAAGGTAACAATAGTATGATAAAGTCAATGGGAGAGGATTAATGTACAAAAATACTGTACATTCACGAAGCCAGTGAGATAGGATTAATGTACAAGGATAACAATGTAATAACGAAGACAATCAGATTAATATGAATGGGGTTCAGTTAAGCAATAATCCAATCAATAAGCGCTCAGTGGTAGATGATATGATCACAGTGGAGTACATACTGGGAAGGTAGATGATATGATCACAGTGGAGTACATACTGGGAAGGTAGATGCCTCTGCCTAATGGCTGGCTTCTTTCTTTGGATTTCGATTCTTTCTTGATGTCTCTCTTTTCCCTTAAAATGAAATGTGACGAATGGGCAGATTGAGCAACAGAGGTCTTGTGTTCCTCTATTGTGGTGGCTGTAGATCACATGTATTTGTCTCCACAATTGTCTTAGGGTGAACTATGTGGATATAAAGATACTGGAATCGCTGATGTGGGATTTTCCCAATGGTGCTTGTAGTCTGACAAGGTGCTGGGCTGTTTTGCAGGAACCTAAACCCCTGAGAAATACCTGTATTTTGACTTTGGCTTGATCTTTATGGATTTGACAGTGACTCTGGCATAGGGTGGGAGTGGGCGTAGTGGCATGGGTGGGGTTGGGGTGGGAGGTTAGGGAGTTTATGGGGTTCAGGTTGTTGATTGCAGTGTTGTCTATTGCACTATCAATGTGGGTTCCTTGGAGAGTCTATATTTAGGTGTCTTTTTAGGATATACCAAAATCTGGTGGAGAAAACCATATGACAACCCCTTACTATAAAGCAAAAGGGCCCCGTACCAAAACTCAACCAGCCCCATCACCCACCTTAGTCAGCATCCCATATCCCACTACCAGTCACCTGAGCCACTGACTGTTTACGAAAAAAGGCAGCACATGCACACACTGCAGAAAAATACTGAAAAACATGCCAACTGTAAAGGTTGATGAGGGAAGTTAATCTTAAGGACAATTGACAAATGGAATGCAGATGACCAGCAGATCAGATCCGGCCAGACAAAATCTTCACCTGCTGTAAAATCAGTTTGGCACTTAAACTTAAACTTAAACTGTTCAAGTCTCAGGAAATATGATGAAACAGGATGTTGTGTATCGAAAACATTTTCCAAAATTGTATCGTTGAACTCAATGTGGTCATCACATTTTAAACAGGGATTCATATCATCTCAGTCTCCATCATCTGACCATTCAGCTGGGCATAAAAAGTAAAACGGCAGTGACAAGTGAACACTGGATCACTTAAAACCAGTAATGATACCAGGTTTTTGTGTCAAAGAGCAGACATGTCCTGCCTTACACATCTACACGGTCAGTTTGTTAACTACACTGACCAGGTGGTATTGTGAACGCATCTTGCGTATAATACTGACGAGATCTGGGAGACTGGGAGACACTGGGAGATCTGTTATTTTGATTTGATTGTATCTAGACGTTGATGAGGTGAATGTGTGAAACAGTGGTATGGTTATGTGTAGGGCCGCGCAATATAACCGGTTTACCGGCATTTACCTGTTGAGACATGAAAACGATACGTATTGCGATACGCTGATCGAAAACCGCATTTGTGACCAACTCGTGTTATTCCGGGACAAGCCGAATAAGCGACTCGTGCCCCCTCTGGAAGGATTTCAAATTGGAACATCAGAACTAGTTCAAACAGGAACGATAACTCTATTCCTGTTTAATTCCAATATGTACTAAATATTAACGAAGTACTCATACATTGTATTGCTGTTTTTGTTTTCGCTATTTATTCTTAAGAATTCAACCTCCTTGGTAAAAAAACATATTTGTTAAAGACATATTCTGACGTATACCAGACTGACTGAGTGAGTTTAGTTTTACGCCGCTTTTAGCAATATTCCAGCAATATCACGGCGGGGACACCAGAAATGGGCTTAACACATTGTGCCCATGTGGGGAATCGAACCCGGGCCTTCGGCGTGACAAGCCAACGCTTTAACCACTAGGCTGCCCCACCGCCCCACGTATACCAGATATTCACTTTATATTTCCAATTATATTTCTGAAAAGAGTTTAATAATCACATATGGGATTTGTTTTATTGAATATGCAAATAAAATTTGTAAAAAAAACCCCGCTACATTAAATCCAAAAGCAGAAACTCAAAAAATGACTTTTATAATATTTCTCAAACTGAACATACGTGTAACCTTGCTGTCATACCACTAGTGGACTTTTAACTGAATTCGCTGAAAAATATATGAATGACCACAAGAAGGTCAGACTAAAATATTCCTAGAGAATTGAAATATATGCCCAATGTTAAAGATTAAAGTTGATTAGTTACATACAGATATACTATTATTGTTTTGAAACTTGTAGCGATTTTTAATTACATTTCCTAAAATTGTCGGGAGCGCACGTACAATCTCCATAGCAAGCCCGCAAGATCGTCAGAAACACCCTCAGTAGGACCCATGAGAGCCGTTATGTCAACAAACGCACGTGCGTGTATTTGAATCTCTCGCCGTTAATCGCATGATTTTTATCAAAAACACCATAATAGGCGGTAAAATCTTGTTAGCTAAGTTCTTTGTACTTTCAATATGACGATATATAGTTTTCATGATTTTTTAAACAATGACATAATGCCGTAAACGATTTAAGTACTTGGGATTATTTTTACCAAAGCAACGCAGTCATTTACGCGCGTTCTGATTGGTTTGTCGTATTTTTGCACATAACAAGCATCGAGATGGGGACGAGTCTTCTTGCAGGTTACGGAAAGGGGCGAGTGGTGACAAATGCCAAAACCGGTATTTTCACATGCATTTGGTAAACTTCGTAACACTCGGAAATCTTCGGATATTTCCGTTTTTGGAACTGTTCTTTTCCCTGTTTCATTAGTGCCAAATGTTACTTACATTTTTATTTTGTCATGATTAAATTTTTTTATAAAAGGTTAATCAATCATAGTGATTTTGTTCTGTTTTTGCTTTATAATCAAGCATTAATTCGATTATAAGTAGTTTTTGTTAAAAAAAATACATATCGCAATACATGCTTCCGCATTGCAATATAACGCAATATGAACATTCTCCGCAATACCCATCCCTGGTTATGTGGTAAATTTATTCATCTTGGTTGTGACGGGATATATTGTTGATTCGTATATGTAATCTGAGAACAATCTGGACAGTGAGATTACAACTGCTTCGTGATAGTATTACGCGGTGTGTGACAGTAGAGAGTAGACAGTATGGAAGGAATTTTGTAACTTATGAGTAATTTGAAAACATAATAATTATACCCGACTTATAAAGCGAATAACTCCACACGTAGTGTTTGCTCGAGAGACACAAATAAGTTCTTCAGTTTAGTCAATGAAGTTGGAATAGTGTCTATGATCGGCAAGATCTCAAATGTTGGAGTTCAAATGCCAGGCATTTCCATTCAGTTCCATCGTCAAAGAATGTCTTCACTTGTAACACATACACAGGATGGGAATGGGTTCAACTGAAGTAAGTTAATGTAAATGAGTATTTGTTAAGGTATTTACTGTTCCTCCCAGTTGTGACATTGAAATCATTGTGTTATAGTGAGACAGACGGGTCCACGAGTGGATACAGACATCCATACTGCCTGCAAGAAGGGCGACCTGGACCGGCTTAGACGCATCCTATCTAAGGATCTGGAAGACGTCAACCGTAGAGGGAAGGACGGACTAACACCTTCAATGATAGCAGCACGTTTGGGACACAAAAGAATGGTAGACAAACTTGTGAGTAAAGGTTCTGCATTGTGTCTTCTTGCCGATAACAAAAACAACATCCTTCATGAGGCCTGTATTGGAGGACATGTGGATATGGTGAAGTATGTCCTCTCACTGAAGGTTGCAGACATCAACAGTAGGGGTCAGTACGGGAGGACACCCGTGATGCTGGCAGCAGGGAAGGGGCACAGTGCGGTGTTTGACTTACTTGTGAGAGAAGGAGCTGATGTATCATTAGTGGATGATGACGGAGACAACATCCTTCATGAGGCCTGTATTGAAGGACATGTTGACATGGTGAAGTATGTCCTCTCACAGAAGGTTGCAGACATCAACAGTAGGGGTCAGTACGGGAGGACACCCGTGATGCTGGCAGCAGGGAAGGGGCACAGTGCGGTGTTTGACTTACTTGTGAGAGAAGGAGCTGATGTATCATTAGTGGATGATGACGGAGACAACATCCTTCATGAGGCCTGTATTGAAGGACATGTTGGCATGTTGAAGTATGTCCTCTCACAGAAGGTTGCAGACATCAACAGTAGGGGTCAGTACGGGAGGACACCCGTGATGCTGGCAGCAGACAAGGGACATAGAGCGGTGTTTGACTTACTTGTGAGAGAAGGAGCTGATGTATCATTAGTGAATGATAACAGAAACAACATCCTTCATGTGGCCTGTATTGGAGGACATGTGGACATGGTGAAGTATGTCCTCTCCCAGAAGGTTGCAGACATCAACAGTAGAGGTCAGTACGGGAGGACACCAGTGATGATGGCGGCAGAGATGGGTCACAGAGAAGTGTTTGACTTACTTGTGAGAGAAGGAGCTGATGTATCATTAGTGAATGATAACGGAAACAACATCCTTCATGTGGCCTGTATTGGAGGACATGTTGACATGGTGAATAATGTCCTCTCACAGAAGGTTGCAGACATCAACAATAGGGGTCAGTACGGGAGGACACCCGTGATGAAGGCAGCAAAGAGGGGACACAGAGAAGTGTTTGACTTACTTGTGAGAGAAGGAGCTGATGTATCATTAGATGATGATTACAGAAACAACATCCTTCATGTGACCTGTATTGGAGGACATGTGCACATGGTGAAGTATGTCCTCTCACAGAAGGTTGCAAACATCAACAGTAGGCGTCGGTACGGGAGGACACCCGTGATGCTGGCAGCAGAAATGGGACACAGAGAAGTGTTTGACTTACTTGTGAGAGAAGGAGCTGATGTATCATTAGTGGATGATAACAGAAACAACATCCTTCATGTGGTCTGTATTGGAGGACATGTGGACATGGTAAAGTATGTCCTCTCACTGAAGGTTGCAGACATCAACAGTAGGGGTAAGTACGGGAGGACACCCGTGATTAAGGCAGCAGAAATGGGACGTAGAGAAGTGTTTGACTTACTTGTGAGAGAAGGAGCTGATGTATCATTAGTGGATGATAACAGAAACAACATCCTTCATGTGGTCTGTATTGGAGGACATGTGGACATGGTGAAGTATGTCCTCTCCCAGAAGGTTGCAGACATCAACAGTAGGGGTAAGTACGGGAGGACACCCGTGATGCTGGCAGCAGAGAAGGGATACCGAGCGGTATTTGACTCACTTGTGAGAGAAAGAGCTGATGTATCATTAGTGGATGATAACGGAATCAACATCCTTCATGTGGCCTGTATTGGTGGACATGTGGACATAGTAAAGTATGTCCTCTCACAGAAAATTGCAAACATCAACAGTAGGGGTCGGTACGGGAGGACACCCGTGATGCTGGCAGCAGAAATGGGACACAGAGAAGTGTTTGACGTACTTGTGAGAGAAGGAGCTGATGTATCATTAGTGAATGATGACAGAAACAACATCCTTCATGTGGCCTGTATTGGAGGACATGTGGACATGGTGAAGTATGTCCTCTCCCAGAAGGTTGCAGACATCAACAGTAGGGGTAAGTACGGGAGGACACCCGTGATGCTGGCAGCAGAGAAGGGATACCGAGCGGTATTTGACTCACTTGTGAGAGAAAGAGCTGATGTATCATTAGTGGATGATAACGGAATCAACATCCTTCATGTGGCCTGTATTGGTGGACATGTGGACATAGTAAAGTATGTCCTCTCACAGAAAATTGCAAACATCAACAGTAGGGGTCGGTACGGGAGGACACCCGTGATGCTGGCAGCAGAAATAGGACACAGAGAAGTGTTTGACTTACTTGTGAGAGAAGGAGCTGATGTATCATTAGTGGATGATAACGGAATCAACATCCTTCATGTGGCCTGTATTGGTGGACATGTGGACATAGTAAAGTATGTCCTCTCACAGAAAGTTGCAAACATCAACAGTAGGGGTCAGTACGGGAGGACACCCGTGATGCTGGCAGCAGAGAAGGGATACCGAGCGGTATTTGACTCACTTGTGAGAGAAAGAGCTGATGTATCATTAGTGGATGATAACGGAATCAACATCCTTCATGTGGCCTGTATTGGTGGACATGTGGACATAGTAAAGTATGTCCTCTCACAGAAAGTTGCAAACATCAACAGTAGGGGTCGGTACGGGAGGACACCCGTGATGCTGGCAGCAGAAATGGGACACAGAGAAGTGTTTGACTTACTTGTGAGAGAAGGAGCTGATGTATCATTAGTGGATGATAACAGAAACAACATCCTTCATGTGGTCTGTATTGGAGGACATGTGGACATGGTAAAGTATGTCCTCTCACTGAAGGTTGCAGACATCAACAGTAGGGGTAAGTACGGGAGGACACCCGTGATTAAGGCAGCAGAAATGGGACGTAGAGAAGTGTTTGACCTACTTGTGAGAGAAGGAGCTGATGTATCATTAGTGAATGATGACAGAAACAACATCCTTCATGTGGCCTGTATTGGAGGACATGTGGACATGGTGAAGTATGTCCTCTCCCAGAAGGTTGCAGACATCAACAGTAGGGGTAAGTACGGGAGGACACCCGTGATGCTGGCAGCAGAGATGGGTCACAGAGAAGTGTTTGACTTACTTGTGAGAGAAGGAGCTGATGTATCATTAGTGAATGATAACGGAAACAACATCCTTCATGTGGCCTGTATTGGAGGACATGTTGACATGGTGAATAATGTCCTCTCACAGAAGGTTGCAGACATCAACAGTAGGGGTCAGTACGGGAGGACACCCGTGATGCTGGCAGCAAAGAGGGGACACAGAGAAGTGTTTGACTTACTTGTGAGAGAAGGAGCTGATGTATCATTAGATGATGATTACAGAAACAACATCCTTCATGTGACCTGTATTGGAGGACATGTGCACATGGTGAAGTATGTCCTCTCACAGAAGGTTGCAAACATCAACAATAGGGGTCAGTACGGGAGGACACCCGTTATGATGACGGCAGAGAAAGGACACCGAGAAGTGTTTGACGTACTTGTGAGAGAAGGAGCTGATGTATCATTAGTGGATGATAACAGAAACAACATCCTTCATGTGGTCTGTATTGGAGGACACGTGGACATGGTAAAGTATGTGCTCTCACTGAAGGTTGCAGACATCAACAGTAGGGATAAGTACGGGAGGACACCCGTGATGATGACGGCAGAGAAAGGACACCGAGAAGTGTTTGACGTACTTGTGAGAGAAGGAGCTGATGTATCATTAGTGAATGATGACAGAAACAACATCCTTCATGTGGCCTGTATTGGTGGACATGTGGACATAGTAAAGTATGTCCTCTCACAGAAAGTTGCAAACATCAACAGTAGGGGTCGGTACCGGAGGACACCCGTGATGCTGGCAGCAGAAATGGGACACAGAGAAGTGTTTGACTTACTTGTGAGAGAAGGAGCTGATGTATCATTAGTGGATGATAACAGAAACAACATCCTTCATGTGGTCTGTATTGGAGGACATGTGGACATGGTAAAGTATGTCCTCTCACTGAAGGTTGCAGACATCAACAGTAGGGGTAAGTACGGGAGGACACCCGTGATTAAGGCAGCAGAAATGGGACGTAGAGAAGTGTTTGACCTACTTGTGAGAGAAGGAGCTGATGTATCATTAGTGAATGATGACAGAAACAACATCCTTCATGTGGCCTGTATTGGAGGACATGTGGACATGGTAAAGTATGTCCTCTCCCAGAGGGTTGCAGGCATCAACAGTAGGGGTCAGTACGCGAGGACACCCGTGATGCTGGCAGCAGAAATAGGACACAGAGAAGTGTTTGACGTACTTGTGAAAGAAGGAGCTGATGTATCATTAGTGGATGATAACGGAAACAACATCCTTCATGTGGCCTGTATTGGAGGACATGTGGACATGGTGAAGTATGTCCTCTCCCAGAAGGTTGCAGACATCAACAGTCAGGGTCAGTACGGGAGGACACCCGTGATGGTGGCTGCAAAGAGGGGGCACAGAGACGTTTTTGACTTACTTGTGAGTGGAGGAGCTGATGTATCATTAGTTGATGATGACAGAAACAACATCCTTCATGTGGCCTGTATTGGAGGACATGTGGACATGGTGGAACATGTTCGCACACTAGATTTAGTTGATTTAAACGCGAAAAATGTGCTTGGCCAAACATCTGAAGACCTCCTTTCTTCAAGACATTATAGCAGTGAGGCCTAATACAGAAGAAATAGAGACATTGCTGGTGTTAAGTATTGTAGCTTCACTGACATTTTCAAAAGAACGAGTTGTTAGATGATAACAGAGACAATATCCTCCATATAGATGTCTTGGAGGACACGGAGACATTGTACTCTCACAAAAGATGACAGACATCAACAGTAGGGGTTAGTACGGGATCACATCCGTGATGATCACAGGAGAGATGGGACACAGAGAAGTGTTTGGCTAGTGGATGATAACAGAACCAACATCCTTCTTGTGGCCTGTATTGGAAGTCATAAGGACATGGCGCAACATGTTCACACATGCAATCTGGTGTCCGTGAAAGATACAAATATACAAGGCCATACAGCTTTAAGACAATGCAGCAGTGATGCCTGACAAAGATCAAAGAGCCACATTGCCGGTCATAAATATTTTCGTTTCTTTTTCTTATTTGCAAATTGTCTTGTACAAAAAGAACGTTATTTTCATAGTGATGACTCTTTATTTACAATGTTTTGATCACATTGGAAAATCAGCAGTCCTGCTATGTGAAGAGGCTCAAAGTTGTTTTCTAATGTTTACACTACATGGTGTTTTAACATCTCAGAGAGAATAGCTCATGCATCTCACTCCTTGTGTTTTGCACATGTGTCGCGAAGGGGGGAAAGGTCCTAATCAGATTTTCCCCGTGGCCATGCATGCTGACTTAACCTCCACATGCATGCTTGTAATCAGATCTCAGGTCGCAGAACAATGTGTTTGAATGTGGTACTTATCACCCGAGTTAGTAACGGTCGGACAAACTGTGACACACAACAATAAACCTGTAATTTTATAATCAATTTCAAAGACATTGTGGCTGAATATATATAGTGAGGGAGGAAGCATCATAGTGTGGTCGGGTATATACAGTGATGGGGGAAGCATAATAGTGTGGACTGGTATATACAGTGAGGGAGGAAGCATGATAGTGTGGACTGGTATATACAGTGTGGGATGAATCATCATAGTGTGGTCTGGTATATACAGTGAGGGAGGAAACTTCATAATGAGTTGACTGGTATTCACAGTGAGGGAGGAAGCATCATAGTGTGGAGAGGTGCATACAGTGAGGAGGAAGCATCATAGTATGTTGACTGGTACATACAGTGAGGGAGGAAGTATCATATATAAGATTTTTTTACACCCGGTCACAGGTGGGCTCGACCCCGACACCTTCATCTTCGCTGGATCTCTAGCCCGGCGCTTTAGCCAGCTCGCCCACCGCTGTCACTGTTGTTTAATACTGAAATGTTTCTTCCAGATTACTGCTAAATTTTTAGTGCTCAAATCAAATATATAATCATACCATCGGGAAGCATCGTAGTGTGGACTGGTATACACAGTGAGCGAGCAAGGGTCATAGTGTGGTCTGGTATATACAGTGAGGGAGGAAGCATCATAGCGTGGTCTGGTATATACAGTGAGGGAGGAAACATCATAGTGTGGACTGGTATATACAGTGAGAGAGGTAGAACCATAGTGTGGACTGATATATACAATGAAAGAGAAAGCGTCATAGTGTGGTCTGGTATATACAGTGAGGGAGGAAGTATCATAGTGTGGACTGGTATATACAGTGAGAGAGGTAGAACCATAGTGTGGACTGATATATACAATGAAAGAGAAAGCGTCATGGTGTGGTCTGGTATATACAATGAAAGAGCAAGCGTCATAGTATGGTCTGGTATATACAGTGAGGGAGGAAGTATCATAGTGTAGACTGGTATATAGAGTGAGAGAGGAAGAACCATAGTGTGGACTGATATATACAATGAAAGAGAAAACGTCATAGTGTGGTCTGGTATATACAATGAAAGAGCAAGCGTCATAGTGTGGTCTGGTATATACAGTGAGGGAGGAAGCTCCATAGTGTAGACTGGTATATAGAGTGAGAGAGGAAGAACCATAGTTTGGACTGATATATACAATGAAAGAGAAAACGTCATAGTGTTCTCTGGTATATACAATGAAAGAGCAAGCGTCATAGTGTGGTCTGGTATATACAGAGAGGGAGGAAGTATCATAGTGTGGACTGGTATATACAGTGAGAGAGGAAGAACCATAGTGTGGACTGATATATACAATGAAAGAGAAAGCGTCTTAGTGTGGTCTGGTATATACAATGAAAGAGAAAGCGTCATAGTGTGGTCTGGTATATACAGTGAGGGAGGAAGCATCATAGTGTGGACTGGTATATACAGTGAGAGAGGTAGAACCATAGTGTGGACTGATATATACAATGAAAGAGAAAGCGTCATAGTGTGGTCTGGTATATACAGTGAGGGAGGAAGTATCATAGTGTGGACTGGTATATACAGTGAGACAGGTAGAACCATAGTGTGGACTGGATTATACAATGAAAGAGCAGGCGTCATAGTGTGGTCTGGTATATACAATGAAAGAGCAAGCGTCATAGTGTAGACTGGTATATACAGTGAGAGAACAAGCGTCATAGTGTGGGTTGGTATATACAGTGAGGGAGGAAGTATCATAGTGTGATCTGGTATATACAGTGAGGGAGGAAGCAAGAGAGTGTGGACTGGTAAACACAGTGAGAGAGGTAGAATCATAGTGTGGACTGGTATATACAGTGAGGGAGGAAGTATCATAGTTTGGACTGGTATATACAGTGAGGGCGGAAGCATGAGAGTGTGGACTGGTATATACAGTGAGGGAGGAAGTATCATAGCGTAGTCTGGTATATACAGTGAGGGAGGAAGCTTCATAGTGTGGACTGGTATATACAGTGAGGGAGGAAGTATCATAGTGTGGACTGGTATATACAGTGAGGGAGGAAGTATCATAGCGTAGTCTGGTATATACAGTGAGGGAGGAAGTATCATAGCGTAGTCTGGTATATACAGTGAAAGAGCAAGAGTCATAGTGTGGACTGGTATATACAGTGAGGGAGGAAGCTTCATAGCGTGGCCTGGTATATACAGTGAGGGAGGAAGCATCACTATAGTGTAGACTGGTATATACAGTGAGAGAGGTAGAACCATAGTGTGGACTGATATATACAATGAAAGAGAAAGCGTCATAGTGTGGTCTGGTATATACAGTGAGGGAGGAAGTATCATAGTGTGGTCTGGTATATACCTTGAGGGAAGAAGCATGAGAGTGTGGACTGGTATATAGAGTGAGACAGGTAGAACCATAGTGTGGACTGGATTATACAATGAAAGAGCAGACGTCATAGTGTGGTCTGGTATATACAATGAAAGAGCAAGCGTCATAGTGTAGACTGGTATATACAGTGAGAGAACAAGCGTCATAGTGTGCACTGGTATATACAGTGAGGGAGGAAGTATCATAGTGTGATCTGGTATATACAGTGAGGGAGGAAGCATGAGAGTGTAGACTGGTATATACAGTGAGGGAGGTAGAATCATAGTGTGGACTGGTATATACAGTGAGGGAGGTAGAATCATAGTGTGGCCTGGTATATACAGTGAGGGAGGAAGCATCACTATAGTGAAGACTGGTATATACAGTGAGGGAGGAAGTATCTTAGTGTGGCCTGGTATATACAGTGAGGGAGGAAGCTCCATAGTGTAGACTGGCATATACAGTGAGGGAGGTAGAATCATAGTGTGGACTGGTATATACAGTGAGGGAGGAAGCATCATAGTGGGGTCTGGTATATACAGTGAGAGAGCAAGCGTCATAGTGTGGTCTGGTATATACCGTGAGGGAGGAAGCTCGATAGTGTAGACTGGTATATACAGTGAGAGAGGTAGAACCATAGTGTGGACTGATATATACAATGAAAGAGAAAGCGTCATAGAGTGGTCTGGTATATACAATGAAAGAGCAAGCGTCATAGTGTGGTCTGGTATATACAGTGAGAGAGGAAGCATCATAGTGTGGTCTGGTATATACAGTGAGGGAGGAAGTATCATAGTGTGGACTGGTATATACAGTGAGGGAGGAAGTATCATAGTGTGGATTGGTATATACCTTGAGGGAGGAAGCTCCATAGTGGAGACTGGTATATACAGTGAGAGAGGTAGAACCATAGTGTGGACTGATATATACAATGAAAGAGAAAGCGTCATAGTGTGGTCTGGTATATACAATGAAAGAGCAAGCGTCATAGTGTGGTCTGGTATATACAGTGAGAGAGGAAGCATCATAGTGTGGTCTGGTATATACAGTGAGAGAGGAAGCATCATAGTGTGGACTGGTATATACAGTGAGGGAGGAAGTATCATAGTGTGATCTGGTATATACAGTGACGGAGGAAGCATCATAGTTTGGACTGGTATATACAGTGAGGGAGGAAGTATCATAGTGTGGACTGGTATATACAGTGAGGGAGGAAGTATCATAGTTTGGACTGGTATATACAGTGAGGGAGGAAGTATCATAGTTTGGACTGGTATATACAGTGAGGGAAGAAGCATGAGAGTGTGGACTGGTGTATACAGTGAGGGAGGAAGCTTCATAGTGTGGACTGGTATATACAGTGAGGGAGGAAGCATCATAGCGTGGTCTGGTATATACAGTGAGGGAGGAAGCATCATAGTGTGGACTGGTATACACAGTGAGGGAGGAAGCATCACTATAGTTGAGACTGGTATATACAGTGAGGGAGGAAGCATCATAGTGTGGACTGGTATATACAGTGAGGGAGGAAGTATCATAGTTTGGACTGGTATATACAGTGAGGGAGGAGAGAGCAAGTATCATAGTTTGGTCTGGTATATACAATGAGGGAGGTAGAATCATAGTGTAGACTGGTATATACAGTGAGGGAGGAAGTATCATAGTTTGGACTGGTATATACAGTGAGAGAGGTAGAATCATAGTGTAGACTGGTATATACAGTGAGGGAGGAAGTATCATAGTTTGGACTGGTATATACATTGAGGGAGGAAGTATCATAGTTTCGACTAGTATATACAGTGAGGGAGGAAGCATGAGAGTGTGGACTGGTGTATACAGTGAGGGAGGAAGCATCATAGTGTGGACTGGTATATACAGTGAGGGAGGAAGTATCATAGTGTGGTCTGGTATATACAGTGAGAGAGGAAGCATCATAGTGTGGTCTGGTATATACAGTGAGGGAGGAAGTATCATAGTGTGGACTGGTATATACAGTGAGGGAGGAAGTATCATAGTGTGGATTGGTATATACCTTGAGGGAGGAAGCTCCATAGTGGAGACTGGTATATACAGTGAGAGAGGTAGAACCATAGTGTGGACTGATATATACAATGAATGAGAGAAAGCGCCATGAGTGGGGTCTGGTATATACAATGAAAGAGCAAGCGTCATAGTGTGGTCTGGTAGTATACAG